AAATTTATCACTACGCCAATTAATCACTTATTTCGAGTATTTAAAATACTATAATATACAGTAATTTAAGTATTCGAAATAAAAGTGATTAATTACTCGAAATAAGTGATAAATTGGCGTTACTAGTAATAAATTTCTATAAGGGTTGAAATAAAGTATAAGAGATAAATAGGCTATATGTGAGCCGTATGCGAAATGTGAGATGTAAGACGCATATTGAAATTTAATTTTTCGATATAACTTTCAAAAATGTACACGAGGTACAAAAAATTAGCTTGGACATTTGTAAGACTTAAAATTGGGATTAATTCTCAATTCTATTAATTAAATTTCGATATAACACACCTTACATCCGCGCACGGCTCACATATAGCCCATTTATTAGTGCAATTTTTAAGTTCCTTATTTTTCAAAGTTCACCTTTTTACGTTATCAAATATTTTTACGTTTTCAAGAATTTTATATTTTTACTTACCGCAGTTTCTTATCCAAATGTAAAATCTTTTATCGCAGTCTATAAAAAATTGAAACAATTTACAATTTTATGATATAATATTATTATTATTACAATTTCTATATATATGCACATCTGTCAAATATCGTGATTTATTTCACATTATTATTATCTATTTTAATAAAAAAAAAACAAAAAACACTTGCAACAATCAAAAATAAACCGCCTGCCGCGAACGGAAAATGCCAAGAAAGCACGCAATTTCCGCGAATCTCGTAATTTTTTTGAAAAATCAACAATTTCAACGAAATTGTAAATTCTTCAAATCACTGCACAAGTATAATTCACAATAATAATTTTCAGTAACTACGATAAAAAATCGTATACTGAAAACCGCAAACGAAAGTGCAATGGGAGTAAGAGTAAAGTCTGTGATAAAATTAATTGGCAATAGAAAATTAATAATTTTCAAATAGAAAAATTTTGAAATTACCGAGGATTTACAAATAATAAAGTAAAAATATTAAATAATTTATGTTTTCGAATTTTGCTCGCGGAGAGGATCTTTAAAACAAGATTTTTAGAAGAGAGGACCTTTAAAATATAAACAGGCAAAAACGTTGGAAAAATTAAAGCGCGCGTTTAAACAGATAAACGCAATGAAATAAATACGCAATTGTTTTTACTTATCGCTGTAAGCTCACAAGCTTCTGACGTGCTATACACTTTTATATAATATATACAAGGTGTCCGGTAACTAACGGACCAATGATTAAGGGCGGATTCTCTGGCCAATTTGGAGACGATTTTTCCTTAGCAAAAATGTTGAGAAGTCAATAATTTTCGAGTTATAAGCGATTGAAAAAAATAGGTTTTTTGAAAACTAAACGTTTTGGAGTTAAAAGTCTAACATAATTACATTCTTCAGTTAATTTCAGGTAGAGTTTACTATAATAAAATTTTAATTTAAGGCTTAGTTATAAAGATACATAATGACAAAGATTGGAAAGTTGTAAAAAATGATGACCTTTTTCGACATTTTCGCTGAGGAAAAATCGTTCCCAAATTGACCAAAGAATCCATTTGTAATCATTGGTCTGTTAGTTACCGGACACCCTGTATATTGGACACGAGTTTCGTTTGTTTCAGATTCTCGAGAGTTGAAGTAGGAACATACGAGTATCATATATCGTTTGTGACTTGCCGAATGAAAGCAAGACAGAGAGCGAACGAGATGATGAGCTTAATAGCTCATAATGTTATAAATAAATAAATAAAAAATTATAACCTGACCTACTAGTTATTGAATCTTTTTTTAATAAAATGTTTCATTATTATTATCATCTAAGTCTAAGTCGTTTAATTACTTTTTAGTTTTTTAATAATTAATTTAATTTATTCTAGTCATTTTTATATGAGAAAAATAATATCACGTATACGTTTTATAATGAATTAATATATTTCGGGAACCGAATTATATATTCTTAATAATATAAAAGTGTTCAAAAATTATATTTGACTTTTAATTTTAATTATTTTATAGCAAAGAGTTCCGAAATCTCTTACACACATAATGGGGATTTTTTTCATCCATATAATTCGCAATTAAGTATATATGTTAATTATTAATTTTAATAAAATAAAAATTAAAATTAAAGGTCAAATATAATTTTTAAACACAAATATATTAAATTAATTATAAAACGTATACCCATGATAGTATTTTTCTCGTACAAAAATAATTAGAGTAAATTAAATTAATCATAAAAGATTAAAAATTAATTAAAGAATTTAAACTTATATTTTATATAATAATAATAAAACATTTTATTACGTCAAACCGTCGTGAAATAATTAAATAAAATTTGCTAGTTACGTCAAAGTCAAGTTTTCTAAGCTTATAAAACATTTTATTAAAAAACAGATTCAATAAATATAAGTACATGTTATATATATACTTATATTTAAATGATAATCCTTAAGAGTCGCCAGTAATAAATAATGAAAATCTCTCCTCCAATTTTAAAGTCGACTAGATGGCAATAATTTATTAAAAAATTAGTTAAATTACAACGTTTCGGCTGTCATTGCAGCCCTTTTCAAGTAATCAGATTAAAACAATAAATCAAATTTACAGCAAACCCCCGACAAAATTAACCATTGTTTTGATGAACAATGTATAACTGACAGAAGTGAGCACAAAAAAAAAATAGATGTTGACTGTTAGCAGGAAACTTAGTCACTGTGACTAAGTTTCCTGCTAACAGTCGACATCTATTTTTTTTTTTCGTGCTCACTTCTGTCAGTTATACATTGTTCATCAAAACAATGGTTAATTTTGTCGGGGGTTTGCTGTAAATTTGATTTATTGTATTAATCTGATTACTTGAAAAGGGCTGCAATGACAGCCGAAACGTTGTAATTTAACTAATTTTTTAAATAAATTATTGCCAGTCTGGTCGACTTTAAAATTGGAGGAGAGATTTTCAATACTTATATTTATTGAATCTGTTTTTTTTATAAAATGTTTTATTATTATCATATATAATATAAATTATTTAATTATTTTTTAATTTTTTTATGAGTAATTTAATTTGTTCTAGTTATTTTTGTACGAGAAAAATACTATCACGGGTATACGTTTTATAACGAATTAAATATATTTATGTTCAAAAATTATATTTGACCTTTAATTTTAATTTTGTATTTTATTAAAATTAATAATTAACATATATACTTAATTGCGAATTATATGGATGAACAAAATCCCTATTATGTGTGTAAGAGATTTCGGAACTCTTTGCTAAAATAATTAAAATTAAAAGTCAAATATAATTTTTGAACACTTTTATATTATTAAAAATATATAATTCGACTCTCGAAATATATTAATTCATTATAAAACGTATACGTATTAGTATTTTTCACATATTAAAATAATTAGAATAAATTAAATTAATTATTAAAAAACTAAAAATTAATTAAACGACTTAGACTTAGATGATAATAATAATGAAACATTTATTAAAAAATAATTATAATAGGTCAGGTTAATATTTTATTTATTTATTTATTTATAACATCATAAAATTCTGTCCTTTCCGAAATACGCGAACGCTACGAAAAGATAAATCTCGTACATGCCGCCGGACGAGTTCATGAGCATGAGACGCTCTTATCTTGGGAACGTATTAATAGTTACTGCATTGACCACTACTACGATATGGCGCTGAAATCAGTGAGAAATGCTGGTCTCTCCTTCATCCAGACCTTTGGCGATCTGTCTATTAATCTGTGATAACACGCACAAACACACCCACGAAGATGTATGACAGAGTATGTTAGCTTCCACGTGGCACATCTTTTGCATTTGCAATATCGTAAAAACGCTTTAAATCGGAAAGTTTTTTAAATAAATAATATAATTTATTATATTATTTTTAAAAAAATCTCGACATTATAGCTGTAAAATATGATTAAAATATATATATTTGAAACGAGAATTTATATTTATCAAAATATTTTTTTCTATAAAATCCATAGTTTCAAAATATCAAAAGTGTTCCACCATTTTTTTCTATATTTATCATAAATAATATATATAATAAATATTTTATTCTATATTAAATAAGAGATCGACAAAGCTATATTATATTTAAAAATGATTATAACATATATAGGAATAAACGTTACAATATTTTTAATCAAAAGTGCAATTATATAATTATATATACAATTTAAGATGTATATTTTATATTAAATTTATTTACAAATTAAAATTATACAAGAAATTTATTACTAAGCTGATATAATATTATAATTCACCCCTATTCAAGAATTCCTCGATAGTATAGTGGTTAGTATCCCCGCCTGTCACGCGGGAGACCGGGGTTCGATTCCCCGTCGGGGAGATTTTTTTTTCGTTTCTATTTCTTTTATTTTTGTATATTTTTTCTCATTATTATTATTATTATTATTATTATATTTATTATTTTATTATTATATTTATTATTTTATTATTATATTTATTATTTTATTATTATATTTATTATTTTATTATTATCGTTAATCACATTAGTCGCATTCAACGCGCGCGCGCGCGCAAATTCAACAATATTTTTCCAATGTCATTCGATGCTAATTGGTTGGATCCGAAAGTAGTAACCAATCACGTTTGATTACTACTTAGGGTTATTCTACAATAAGTTGCCAGTTGACATTTGCAGATTAACCAATAAGCAACTCAGCTGACAAGTTACTTTGTTTCGATTGGTCTACCGGAGCATTTGCAACCTATTGTGGAATGACCCTATGATGTTTGCAGATAGAGCTTGAACATCCGTTAAATATGTCAGAAGATGGCGGGGATAAGCGATATGCGCGCAGCGCCAACTATATTCCGTTCGGTTGAGCAAGCGTGGCTAATCAAAGCACCAAGAGGTAAGCCGCGAGGTCTGTTTATTTTTGATTTTTCGTCAGGTAGGCGTAGCTCCACGTCGGCACATTTGCAAGAGTAATGCGGTTTTTTCGTCGTGTCTCATATCCCACACACCGTATTCGAAAAATGATGACCTAGCAGCAATTGTCGTGGAAACATGGGTGCGAACGCGCCGGACGAGTCCGTGACTTGTCGGGCATCTTGCTTGGTAAAGCCAAGAGCCGAGAATCAAGCTTCGCTGCTTCCGCACCTCGCGTAGCCGTTTGTTCCTCCTTCGCTCCGTCGAGCCCGAGCCCGCGATCACGTTCACGCCGCTCTAACCAACTGACAACGCGCGCGTTGATAGCCGTCAACGACACGACAACGAGAACGCGGTCGTTTACGGTCGTTACGCCGTGCACCAGGTACGCATCGAGTCGCGACAAACGGAATCGGTTACGGGGACGAGCAAGGAGCGGTTCTTTGTCGCCTATTTTCGTTGATACCTAGCTGTTCCGCGCAAATACTTAATAACGGGACCATCTTCACGAGTTTCTTTTGCCGCAGGAAAATGAGCAGTTCCGAGGAAGTGTCCTGGATTTCGTGGTTTTGCGGTTTGCGCGGGAATGAGTTCTTTTGCGAGGTGAGTACTTGCGGGGGAAACACTCCTGTATTGTATGTTGTTACATCTTTTATCATGCATATATTTTAATATTCCATAAACCAAATATTTACCTTATTCCAACTTACTCTTACTACACTCATCTGTGGTAGAATTAAAAATCAATTTTTTTTCACATTAGCACTCGTTTAGATTTGGTTTCCAATTGGATAAGAATGATAAAGCAGCAAACACTTGGAGTGGAATTAAAATTATGCATGAAAGTATAAATTCTGTTTATACGATCTATATTATATTTGAGATATACATATTTTGTGAGCCATTTAATAAATAAATGATTTATAGCATAGTGCTTTTTAAAATATACAATTTGATTTTTATTTTTCTTTAAATTATGATTAAGCAACTTATACAAATTTATATTTGATATTTTTAAATACACTTTATTATTGATATATTTTTGAGTTTATATGCAACAGACATTTAAATGATATCTCTCTCTTGAATAATTTGAAACTATAGATGTTATTTATCCTATTTGTCATATATTCAGGTGGATGAAGATTATATTCAGGACAAATTTAATTTAACGGGGACTGAATGAACAAGTACCACATTATCGTCAAGCATTGGATATGATTCTCGATCTTGAACCTGGTAAGTTGTTTCGAGATAGTATCAAATAAAATTACTCATTCTTGAATTATTAAGTAAAAAACTGAAATATAAAGATAAATAAATTAAAAAATTTTAAATATAACTTATTTGTAATACTCTTGTATTTGATGTTTATTTGATCAGATGATGATTTGGATGATAACCCGAATCAATCAGATTTGGTCGAGCAAGCAGCAGAGATGCTCTATGGTCTTATTCACGCTCGCTACATACTTACCAATCGTGGCATCGCTCAGATGATTGAAAAATATCAAGCGGGTGATTTCGGTCATTGCCCGCGAGTTTACTGTGAATCCCAACCAATGTTGCCGTTAGGCCTTAGCGATGTTCCTGGCGAGGCAATGGTCAAAGCTATTGTCCCAAATGCATGGATGTTTACACGCCCAAGAGTTCGAGACATCATCATACCGATGGAGCTTACTTTGGAACAGGATTTCCACACATGCTGTTTATGGTTCATCCCGAATATAGACCGAAACGTGCAGCAAATCAATTTGTACCTAGGTAAATAAACATTATTCTATGGCTGCTTAAGCAATGGCTATTTAAGCAATAAAATAATCATATGGTAAAAACTCAAAATATCTAGCTATAAAAATTTTAAAGTACATTTGTTTTTATTATTTTTTTTCTTTTTATGATAAAATTTTGGAAAAAATAGAAATAGAAGAAATTGTTTTAAGATGGATAAATTAATTCCACTGAAGAAATCTTACTAAAACACAATTTTTGTATATAATTATATATGCACTTTGTCAAAATTTTAACATTTTGTATTCATTCTATTAGAGTCTACAGTAATCAAAATTATATCAGTTTTTTCAACACATTTTCTAATGATTCTCTCATAATATAGTAACATTGTCATTGTATACATATAAACAAATATGAATTTAACAGCATTGATCTTTATTCTTGTATTTACTTCTATAAATTACATATGTGTAATATTATTAGAGATAGATTTTAATATGAATATCTGAGAAGATTAAATGATATTTAATAATGAGATAAAATCAAGTTTTATTATATATGTTACTATACATTTTAATTAGTGACTCAGTCAAGTTAAAGTTTACTCATTCATGTTAAACATTTATTAATTGTGGCATTGCCACATCCTCAGATAATCGAAAAGTTTCTAATAGACAATTTCCGAGTCATTTTTTATATGTGTAGAGCTATACGAAATCCGAAAGTTAAAAGATAAATTTTATTTTTCAGATTATACGGCTTTAAAAATTCATCCTCTAGCATATCAGATCCAGCAACAGTCTGCGTCCACGTTCAAAGCACCATTACGGGCTCTTAACTACATAATGGAAAACGTTAAGGTCATTTGGAATAGCCTAGAATACTTTTTTTTCATTACTCACAATTTTTAATTTCGTCCTGAAGATTCAAATAAAATATTTTTTTATATCTCTGTTTCTCCCATGCAATATGTTTCTACGCAAAAAGGACATTTTTTTACGAAACCGTTCTTTTCAATCGACACATTGTCTCGTCGCTCTTATGTTCTTACGAGTACGTTTCTTACGATCATGTGAAGAGAGAGAGACAGGAAGAAAAATAGAGAAAGAAAAAATTAGATTTGTTGTGTATCATTATCATATAATTTAAATTGTAGCAACATTATTGTTTTCACAATCGTTTATGTAAAGAACCAATATGTTTTTGTATAGAAATTTTGAACATTCTTCACATTAAAGGATAAAGAGAAAAGAATAAGAAGAACGTATAGAATAATTAATTGCGTTTAGATCGTAAATAAAAGAACTAAATGATTATAAAGTTAGAAACATCCGTTTTGTACAAGAGTTTGCATCACCATATTTGCTGCCAAGTAGTTCCTAAAAATGGCAGAACAGACTTCCTAAAAAAAAGAGAAGAGAGTAGAGAGAAAATACCGGGTTTCCACATTGGTTCTTTTCGAAACGAGAAGTAATGTATAAATGAAAATATAGCTATTAAGTTAATTTAATTTAATCGCCGAGTAAATTTGTGCAACAAATTGTGACAGAAACAATTTATTGATGTATGAAATTTCATATAGATAATATATATATATATTATTTACTTGGATGCTAAAAAATTATTGAACTCAGAACACAATAATTTCACGAAATTATTGTTCGACGAATCGTACAGCGTTTTGCGAAAAACAAAAAAGACGATTATCTTAGTTTCTATCACAGTTTTCAAAATGTCCTTATGATATTTAGCATTAATGGGACGAAAATTTTATGCGATTATAAAATAAAAATTTGTGTACCATTTTTAACGTAGAGCAACAAAGCTGCTAGTAACATTTTCTTGTATCTCGTTATAATTGTTCGCAAAGTAAAGTTTGAGTCAAATGGAGTTTGTATCCAAATTGATTGATTCGTACTCGGAAAAAATGTTGTATTTTCACTTCAAATTAAAGTACGACTTATTTACACGTATTGTGTTTTTGATATCCATAATTGAATTTCAATTAGAAGATTTGTTTTTTAAATGTAAATTAATTATCTTGTATTGCTGTATACATTTAATATAATTGCATTTTATTTCTATTTTTAAAATTAATATTATTAATTTACATGCATTATACTTTACAAATCCATATAATCATCAATTATAAAAAAATGTTCTAGAGTTTAGAGTTAGCTCATTATCTACTATATAATGAAGAGAGAGATTCTTGAAATTATTTCGAAACAAAAATTTTAACATCAAAATATATTGAAACTATGAAGCTCTTGCCACAATGCCAGGAAATAGGCAATAGGAATAAAGAATTATAAAATATCTCCCAATAGGAGCAGAGAATAATATCTATCTCTTTCCGATTGGTTGATATTTTTTATTTCTTATTCCTATTGCCTGTCGTCTGGCATTGTGCAAGGGGCTAAAGCTTAAATCACCTATTGTGGATCCGGTCTAAATTACATTCGTTCTGCGTTGCGCTATCGCTTCATGAAATTGCTCCGACCAATGAGCGTGATCTTTGCAAATTCAAATGCCATGATGTAAGATGAAAACCGGTAGAGCTAGCTGAAGTTTTCATGTCAAGTTATGTTTATAAGTTTTGAAAGTAATGTGATACATCTATGCATAGATATACGGAGTGTATGTCATATAAGGACAAGTAACTGTTGTACACAAATATAAATTTTTAATCTTCGCGTAAGGGTCTCGTAATATATGCGTGCATAGCATACAATTCTATTGACGATTCTTCTTGTCAAACCGATCTGCAGCCTACAGCCAGGCTGTTTAATTGACAGGTGTGTGTATATTGTATAATCGGGAATATTTTGAGTACCTACGATGAAAGCATCCTTGTGGTTTTATCGCTAAATTAGGAAATATGACGTCGATTATGTCAATAATTTTGGACACAACTGGAGAAAATTCGAAACGATCAAAGGCTTCTTCAGATAATTACTTGCTTTGAAAGTTTACGAGTAAGGATAGAGGATAGTAACAAAAAATTAACGTTCTTTATATATCTGCTTTTATTATTTACTATCTTATTTATTTTATCAATTTAATAATATATATGATTTTGAAAAAAAAA